ATTTACAGAAAGGAGAGGAAAAAAAAATAAAAAAAAAAAAAAAAATCACAGGAGAAGGCAGTTATGGTTGTTTAATGTCTACTCACAAAGTCACTGCAGTAATTATTACATGTGTCACTTCTAAGAGAGAGAGAAGAGAGGAAGGGGGAAGAGTGAGCAGAGAAGCCACCCTGTACATTTGACCTTAATGAGACAGGCTATGAATACGCATAATGATTTCTCAAAGTGTTTGAAGATGTGCAGCTTCAGGGAAAAGAACTATACTAGAAAGGGGATAGGGTAAGTACCACTCAAATGGAGCTATTATGCTTGCAGCTATTTGGAATCTGAAATGAGATAAAAGCCACATCACAGAGGCATAATGACTTCAGGACCAATAAAAAGAATTAACTGACATATCTTCTGGTAAAATAGATTATGAGACTTTTCAGTTCTGCTTTGCATCAGTGGACTAAATGATGAAGCAGAAGGAACAGCAGAAAAGACTATGATTTCCCTATCCTCAGCAGAAAGCCTCAAGGAACTAAGGAAGTCATGGCCTGCCTCTCCCACTGATGTTTCATACAGCCATTAGGATAAATAACAAAGTGTTTATGGTCCCTGTGCATTGTTCCTCTACTTATTCCTTACCCTCTGCCCTGAAAACTCTTGCAGGGCAAACACACAAGATGATACCAGGGTAAACTCACTGATGTGACACCTTTTTCCCTACCTTTCTGGGAAGGGGAGTTAAAGAAACATTAAAAATGGGGAGTAATAAGCTTGTTTGTGTCTTTCTCAATGGGACTGAAAAAAAACTGCAGGAGGAAACTGAATCAAGATTCAGGAATATAAAGGTACACACAGAGCATGGGGTGAAGCTGTAATATAATCAAAGTTTACATCTTCCAACATATATTTTAAAAGAGCAGTTCTTTCCACTACAGCTACTGTTCTAATGACAGTTAAAGAGAAAATGGGAAGCTTCAAACTGCATCCTGAGATAGGAACCCTCCATCTTTTGAAAAACATGCTGCAATGCAGACTCTAACCCTGCAATGTGGATCTTAAAAAGGGTAAAATCTTGGCCTTAAGATGACAGCGCTTTGGAAGACTTCCCTGTTTGCCCAAGATCACAAGTTGGGCTAAATTGGAAATCAGTCTATTTGGTTAAATATTACGCCACATCACAGCTTTCTGGAATATTTTTTTGTAAGTTCATTTGAAAAGTTCCAACTTCACAACTCTAAAGAGTCACAATACTGGTTTCAGTAAAAGAAACAAAGCTTCCTAAAACTTACATAGTTGCTATTAGTAAGTATTTGGAAAACTGCTGAACACCTACTGCAATGCCCTAGAATTTGAAAAGCTGTGTTACTGCAGCAGGTACAGATACCTAAACATGGCATCTAAACATTTTAATTCTACTATAAGCACATAAAATGCAAGTACTTGGTTCTTTGCTATCGAAACACAGCACTGCGAGTACGAGGTTTATTTAGAGATGACAAGGACAAGAGAATTGGGGAGCTCTGGAACTTCTTTGACAATACAGAATAGTTTATAGAGGCCACAAATTGCTGTGGGGAGCACTTGCACATATGTATTTCTATGATTGACTGCACTATTGAAATGCCAAGACATCTTAGAAATCAGAACAATTTTTACTACCACAGCAACATCTGTGAAGGGCAGAATTCATCATGACTTCCTTCAGTTTACTAAATTAAGACACACTAAGGATGGATATAGATTATGCACAGAAATACATCTAGACATACTATTTCTACTGCACCGATCTGCTCTCTTAAAAAAAGAAAACCCCACTTTTTTTTTTTCCATATTTGGGAAGCTAGTACTTTGGCTATAGAACCTGTACGTGAGATGCTGACATAATGATGAAACAAGATTTGTGATATAGGACTTCCAAGGGCTAAAGATGCTGTTTTGAAGCACACAGTTTCAGTGGCTTTTCAGGATACTGCCCTTGCCCCTAAAGGTTTATAGTCAAGTGATTGTGCAGCTTGCTCTCCAACAGTTTGCACCAATAAAGCTGTACTACAGTAACTGTGAAGGTAGTACATAACTGTTAAGCCACCTTGTTTTAGGAAGCTGGATACTAGCTTTGCTGCCCTAACCTGTGGGTTTTTTTTCTCCAGGAATCCAACTATCAGGTTACATTTTGACATCACCTTTTTAGTCACTAAGATGTTCTTACTTGCTAATTCTACCTGAGTGAAACAAGGGATATTTAAAATGTCTGTTAGTATCCTGAGTAGCAATTCAATATAGAGATGTTTGTTTAACATAGTGTTCATATAAACATTCAGTTTTGACTTTCACGCTTGAGGGGGAAATACAGTTAAGGATGTTTCCATTTGAAATATCACTATCCTACCATATGAAGAAGTGTTTTTTTTTCATTTAGCATACTCCATGTACTACTTAGTGCTCAGTATAGCTAGATTAAAACGTTACTTAGCTTCATGTTCAGGAAAAACATACCTGCAATTCAGCTAGTTCAATTTCAAATATAGTACTAGTAATACTAGAAGCCTGCACAATTTTTAGAATAAAACTGAGAATTCTGCTCTTATTCCAATATGCTATACTGCCTTTTGTTATATGACAAGATATGCATCATTACTGCAGAGTTCTATAGGAACGCGTTACTGATTAAGCAAACTAAAGACCTCAAGTAACATAATACCACCTTTTCTTTAGTACGTATAGAATCATAGAATTAGGGTTGGAAAGGACCTTAAGATCATCTAGTTCCAACCCCCCTGCCATGGGCAGGGACATCTCGCACTAAACCAACACACCCAAGGCTTCATCCAACCTGGCCTTGAACGCTGGCAGGGATGGAGCATTCACAACCTCCCTGGGCAACAGAGTATCTTACTGACAATACTCTATACCAGTTCAGAAAAAGATTTAGGGTGTTGTCAGTGTTCTCCTCAGAAAGTAGCTCTTTACCCTCCAGTCTTCAGTGCTAAAGCAAACCCCCAATCAAATGAAAATGAAAGCTTTAATAGCTGCAATGTGTAGGTACTACACAGCACATATGTAGGTGACGTGCTTTAAGCTATTCAAGAACAATTGTCAGAGTAGCCTTTCTTTGCTGCTGTTTTAGAAGCAGAGATTAAAATTACTTCCCATTAATTTTCACGTATTTATTGCAGCCATTTGCATTTTAATGATGAAATAGATCTGTTAGGTTCTTACATTGACAAGTAGTTACACAGATATTAATGCAAGATGTCTTTTTCTTGCAGGAAAGAGTTGCTGATAAGAGCGATTCAGTTAACACATGAAACTCATTTTTCCACAGCATGTGTCATACCCACATGAAGGGAATGAGCACTAAATCATCTGTCTTGGTGTTCATGATCTCCTTCCCAGCGTTGCACAAGCTACTAGGATGTGCTGCTTTATAAGTAACATGAACGAGAAACATTGTAGTACTGTATAGGTGTACTTTTTTGTGCCTGACACCACTAGAGTGGTATTATTTTCAATTTATGAAGTTACCCTTTGAGAGTACTCAAAAGCTATAGCTAGGGCTGAACACAGCAGTTCTCCTAAAGAGATGAAATGGCTATAATCTATCAGCAGTTTTTGGCATTGTTCCCTGCAGTGCCTGCCTGGTTAGCTACTGATACAGTTCAAGGTGCTAGTTATGATTTTAAAAGGCCTAAATGGGACAGGATCCACTTATCTGAAAGACTGCCTTTACACCTATGCCTCAGAACAGACTGGCAGTCCTGTCTCTCTAGTCCAAGAAGGACTGATGTTACTCCCAGAGTTTAGACCAGCCTTATTTTAGGTATGTTTTTTTTATAAAAAGGCAACATTAATGGCAACACAAAACAATGGCCATCTGTTCTCCAACAAGCTGTCTACCTATGGGCACTTGACCTGGGGTCTGCTGCATGTGCCACTCATCCCCCTTCAAGTCAGCTTTCCCCTCTCTGTCCCTCTCAATCTCTCCCATCCACAGGCTCAGACACGTTTCTGCTTGCAGGAAGAGGTATGTGAACTTCAGAACTGTGATCCCTAAAAAGACAGAGCTGCCATTTCTACTTATGATAGTGCCTTTGCATTCTTGTTGCTGAAGTTCAAGGACTTGCATGTATGCCAGATTTTCAATGCAAACAGACTGAAATTCAGACTCATTATGCAGACACTTGGGGGAAAGCTGGAAGACATGTCTCTTGTCTCAGTTACTCAGTATTTTGTATCAGAAAAAGTGCTGACACAACTGTCATGCATTAACAGACCAAAGAAATAATACACTCCCCATTGCAGAAAACTGACCCCTTTTTTCATTATCATCTTTTTTGCCTCAGCATGGCAACACAGACGACCAAGACACATTGATGAGTATGCCAAGATGGGAAATTGTTCATGCAAAAGTAGTGTTAAAAGTAGAAATCCCCAAACAAGCCCAAAAGAAGTTAGTGTAGTTATATACATGGTGTCAGAAGATAAACAAGGTATGTTCTTCTAACACCAGTTAAAAGGACAAACAGGCAAAAAAAAGGTAACACCTATGGTTTGGTTTTTTACTTGTAATTAATTTCTCTTCCTTGCCTGTGGTGGTATGTGACAGTCAGCAATACCTGGACAGAAAGAAAGTCTGACATTTGTGCCTTCTACAGGACTCCATGAACAACAGACATTATTGAACCACAAATACGTTGATACACAATAACTTTGCCTAATAGCCATATATATCTACTCTTTATTTTAAACGATGATGCACCACTGAGGACAGAGGCCAGTTAAGGCTAAGTAATAGCTCTGATTTGCACAGCTTATAGAATGGGTAACTACTCCCTTGCTCAGACTACACTGAATGGTGACTACAGATTGGATGACCTCTCTCATGTAAAAGCTTTTAGCAATTATTTTCCTTTTGCTTAGAAATATAAATTATGAACAGACTCCTTCTCCCAAGTACATTAAAGAAAAAAAAAACACACCCAAAACTGAATTAGCAAATACAATGCATTTACCTGTCATGTTGCAGTAAACTTTCAAAGGTCCCAGTGCCCCACTGCCATCTGGATCTATCCAGTAGTAATTCGAAGTTTTGCCCAAGTGTTTGTATGCTTCACAAGAGAGTTCATGAATGGCTGGAATGAAATAAACCACAACAATAAGTATCTTCATATCCTGGAGCAAAAAATCCATAATGACAATGAACTGTCTTTATTTATATAACAAGAACTATACCCTTGAGATTAAAGTAATGTCACTGACATTCACAGCCAACAAAGCATCTCTCCAAAAGAAACAAGTGATTAAAAGCTTGAGGCACACAATTTGATTCTTTTGGCATGTGACAGAAAGCCAGAGTAGGAGGAGAATTCCAATAACTTGGCTGGGGGAGAGGGTGGGTGGGAGGGGGAGGAACAACCAAACTTTAACAGTATCTTTAAACCATTCTTGAAAATACTTTGGTTCAGAACTTTGTTTATACAGTGGTTTAAGCTTTACATCATGAATGGTGACACTTCCATTAACACAATATACTTTTAGGAGATACACCAAAAAAGCTTCCCAGTTTCCTTTCTGTAAATTTTAGGATTTTTCAGGTTTTATTACAACTCAGAATAACATCAAGTTTCAAAACCGAAATTTCTCACTATATGGAATACTTGTCTCTACACAGCTCTACAGCTCCCCTTTTATTGATCTACATAAATAATACTCTGTTCCAGCAAGGTCTAAACTTTCACCCTATTTACTGGAAGTTTAATTGCTTTAGCAGGGAGTTTTCCTTCTATTTTTTCCTTGACCTCTCCATACTGTTTTTTATTTCAAGTCATAAAACTGCTTGTCAAATTGTGTTACGATTAATAGCTCCAGCATAATAAGCATTATAGGTGGAAGTTTTTCTAGTAACTCCCATATTCTCATTGAAACAGATGACTATTACAAAGTTGTGTATTACACATGAATGAATTAAATCATTTCAGGCATAGGAACAGTAAAACTGGTAGTTTATACAAGTTGGCATGTTTGTATACATATAACTGGTAAACTATGTAAATATTTTTCTATGCAGTATTTAAGAGGAGGAATGTGTAATGCTGCTTTGTTTTCCAAGGAACAGATGGTGCAGCTTTTTTGTTTGGAATCAATCAATCAGCTGCTAAAGGAAATGCAATGTTTGTTTAACCAGACTTCATATCCACTCTAAAACTCCATCTAATTTGTTGGCAATTCTTGCAAGCAATCTCCTGGCTAAGACTGGCTTTATTTCAAAAGTCCATAAGGATGAGCTGATTCACTGGGCTCTGATGAGCGACTGATCACACACAAACACACACATGCATTTAGAGGCCTCCAACTATAAAGATGCAGGAGGAAAAGCAGAGCTAAAAAAGTCTCCAATTCAGATGTGGCATGAATACAAAGCTAAAAACTGTTATTGCATATAAAGCAATAACCTTGTTGATTCTACAAGAGAAAGAATTTCCTGGAAGGTTTTGTGTTCATTACAGGGTCTAAAGTCACTTGTATACACAAAGTAGACATCGTTAGACACTTTAATTGTGAAATATTCCAAGCCATTTCCCCTTCCTCCCCAAACTAAACAAATTGCTTCATTATCAAGGAAACTCTTTGCCTGTTTTCAGACACTTCATGCAGATTTCCCAAGGGATTCAGAACCAATTTTCTTTTGAAATATTTCTCTAACTCTCTCCATGCTACCTAAATACAATCACAGAATACCAGCCCTGTTCATGTACAGTTGTAGTGATAGCAAATCTCAAATTTTACCAGATGCATTACAGATGACAAATAATGTTTATGATCTCCCAAAAGTTCTGCTGTTTTCATTTTCTAAACTCTTACAGAAAGTCAAGGGAATTTTGTCTCTGAAGTATCCACATCTTTACATAGAGCCATGTGACTCTAGGTTTGCTCTTTTCAAGAGGACAGGACAATCTTTGTATGGAGATACTGCCACAGTTCAGAGATAAGCATTCTATGGAAGACAACACCAAGTTACACTGGTTAATCAGATACTCATTTATCCCTACTGAGTATTTTTTTACAGGAAGTTAAAGGGTTTAGATACAACATTCTTCCTTTGGTTTTCCTGGAATGGGAAAAGGAAAGCACAGTAGGTAGTTATCAGAATTACAGCACAGAACAGGCTGCTTCTGAATATCAGCATTTGCTAAGCTTCAATGTTATGTCAAAGACCAAACTGTAAAAATGCCTCAAGTAAACACAGAAGAGTGAAATAGTCTACATTCAACTTGTGAAATGCCAGGAGCGTGTGATAGGGTTTGGGCAGGTTTTATCCATATGCAGTTGCATACTTAAGGAGCTTAAAAATGCAAGTAAATGAATGGATGGGTTCTAGCTCAAGGACAGAAATCACTTCACAGGAGTATAGGGACAAAATGAAGGGGTAAGTGAAGTTGGTATACTGACAGAATAACTGGTAATCAAGATGCAGTAAGAAAACAGTGAACAATCATGTTCTGGTGAATGAAGACACTTGATGACAGAAAGAGAACTTTCTGTTAACTTCAGATGGCAAACGGTAGCCCCTAACTGAACCAGCAGAACAAAAGCGGCAATTTGCAAGCAGAGAAGGCAACAGCAAAAGGGACAACAGTAAGACATGATAGCAAGATGTCACAGGTGTAGAACATGACATAGAAAGGGAGACAACACAGGATGACCTTTTAATTCAATACTCCTTTTTAATGGGCTTTTGAAATGCGCATGAAATGTTCAGTCATGTGTAAGACACATGAACAGGTGAAAACAGAAATTATGAAACCCAAAGAACACCTAGAATAGATGAAAAGATAAAAAACATTGTTTTAGAAGTCACCTGGGCACATTAAAATACAAAATAAAAGGAAAACAGAATACAACAACAAGGAAGAGTCCACCACAAATATCAAAGTTGATAAAGGTTACAATAAACAAGCAAAAGATTTAACAAAGCCAAGAAATCAAAAGTAAATGAAATGCAAGATCTGGATATAAAGTCTACAGTGCTCATATATGAATAAGGAGAAATGGTTGCATATCTCTACACATGGAGAAGGAGGCAGAGAAATATAGAGAAGGGTCTTTTAGTGCTGACTTCTGGAAGATGGGAAAATCTCCACATAATTGAAGGACTGAAGACACAAGGGCAATAGATCTCCGCTTTTCAAGCCAGCAGAAGTAAAATGCCAAAGTGTATTTGCTTTCTTGGTAGTTGGTCCAAACACCCAATGTATACACTTTAAGGAACTTCCAGAGTGCTAAACCTCAAAATCTTCCAAAAGTAAAACTCACATTTGCCTTGATGTCCAGATAAGCCCTTTCTAGCATAATACATCCAGAATGGCTTCCTCACTCTTAACTTGACATGCTGTCACACTGCACTGCTGTCTACAGCAAGGTGGCTATTGAGAGGTGAAAACTTCGCCGGAACAGTGATCCAATGTCTTATGGTCAGGTAAAAATCACATGCGAAAAGAATCAAAACCAGAAAGAGCTTAATAAAAATGCTATAGTCTTTTTAAAGTTTAATCACCTGAATAATACAGCTCAAGCAGAGACAACCAAATCCATTTTATGCTAAAATCTAAAAGGGCTTGTGTTGTAACATAAGGTAAAATGTTTAAAAAGACCCTCCAACATGAATTAACTATTGATGGGAAACATTAAGCTTCTTAGTCTGGGCAGAAAATCCAGTCATTTTAATCAGCTGACAAAGGCAACTATGAATGCATTTTGAAGTTCACATTGACTAAGATAATATCCACAACAGTGGGCTTGAGAAGTTTCTGTTAGTAAAGATTGACTCGGGAAGCAGATTAAGGGAGAACAATTTAGAGTGAAACAAAACCTAGCAAAGGCCCTTGTAACCAGGCAGACCTTAACCGCATTTTCATTTCGCATTTCTTCACAGGTTGTTTTCCACTCCTGCAGCTTACCTGAACCCCAAATTGGAGGTGCCGACGGGCTGAGGAAGACACTCATTTATGAGTTTCTAGGATCCTCCATTTTAAACACTTGAAGCAAATGGTTCAGAAAACCAGTTTTACAGAATAGCTTTTCCTAGCTCCAGACTGTTGGGGTTGGGAAAAGTCAGCTTCTGTTAGAGCTGAGTGGCTCTTTGCTGAGGGAAGCAGATGTTCTCACTCCTGTTTCACTTTCTGACTTGCATAAAGATCAAGAGAGAGTTATCCCACACAGGTGGTACAGCTGCTGGCAATCTCTAGAAGCCAGAAGAGCCAAATGACAAAAAGGATTTATCAACTCTCTCATCCTATATGATGTTCCCATAGAGTTTCAGTAGCATCTCTGTGAACTACAGTTTCTGCATCACTATATAAGAGGGCAGCTTTAAATACAGGGCTGACAAATAGCCTCCTTTTACAAGTCCAAAACTCATTACAAATAGAAGACCTAGCATGACAGTCTGCACTATGTGACACAATGAATGTGTTATAATGTTTTGATTCCGTCAGTGAATGTGTCTCTGCAGGGACTACAGTCCTTTATACTGCTCCTAATACAGGAGTAAATCTCAGCTTTACAAGGGCATAGGAAAGGTGCAGATTCCCAGGAACTGATGGAATTAAATGATGGTAAAAGTAACAAAGTAGGCACTACATCAGAGCCACAAAGTCCAGCTACACCTCTCCATCACTTTCAACTTCCCCGAAAAAACCTGAAAGCTAAATAGACTGTGAGGTGCTTGGGTTTATACCACTCAAGCTGCTTTCAACTCCTCAGCCCCTTAAAAAGGGCTGAAAGCACAAACAGACTAGGAAGGGGGAAGAAACCCCCAACCTTCTCAAGAAATAGCTGCACACCACAATGCCATACCTGTAGTTGATTTTAAAAGGATGTTGCTTTATTACAATATATATTCAGATCATCTCTTGCAAAACTGAAAATGTTAATATACATACACTGTAAGCTTCTGCTCTGCCAATGGCAGTCTGTCTGCGCAACAAACCTACCCCTACCCTCATGCATTCCAATGCTGTATGGTGGAGAAATGTCACCATTTTTTAAAGTAGGTTAAGTGAACTAGAAATCTCACCATGACTCAAGGTTCCATATGAGAACAGAACGCCTTCGGAATTCCATATCTGCATTC